ACTCATGCACTCGTTCCGATTCCTCGGGTGTCAAACCTCGATAAAATGAATCCTACAGAATGTCCAAATGAAACTAATCAAAGAATTATACTAATTATATAGCTTAATCAACTAACAACAGAAAATCGTACATGCAGAGAAATAAAAAGGCAAAGTAAGCAACGAGAAGGAGCTGCACAAAGCCCTAACCTGATTGACAAGTACGACACGATGATCGTGAAGCTGCTGGATGATCATGTCGCACACTGTCGTCTTACCGGAAGCCGTACCTCCCGAAACACCTAATCAATCGTTGTGACAACAACGAAATTGAAATTGAAATTGACGAAATTGAATTAAACTTGAAAAGCAGTTGCAGCTGAGACTGAATCGGACGCAACGGATCAACGAAATGCAAATTGAAATGAAAACGAAGAGCGAGGGAGTGAGATTACCGATGACGAATGGCTGTTTGGCGGCGTGGGGGTCGGCTGCGAGGTTGGTAGAAGGGCCGGGAGACGAAGAAGGTGGCGGAGAGGAGAGGATGATGTCGAACCGGAGCCCCGAAAAGTGGGGACCAGAAGCTTTCTCCATCACGTAGTCAATCGTTATCACGTTCTCCGACATGGTTTTCCACTCTCTCTCTCTCTCTCTCGCTCTCTGGTTTTGCGCTTCGGAGTGAATGTGGTAAAGAACGACTCGACGCTGCAATTTAAGTGAAAGTTTATGTTAAGAGTTTCAGCTTGACAGAGACTGCCGTTTCGTCACCATCAGTACGGGCGCGCAAGATTCACGCTTTCTTTCTTTTCTCTTTTATTTTTATTTATTTATTATTATTTTTTTTTTTTTTTTTTTTTTGTGAGCTGGATACTTCAATATCAGGACAAAGATAGCAAAAAGATACAGAGAAAGCTTCCAAGGAGGCGAACAACCAAATTAAAGCTAAAAACACCAAGTGGTGCTTACTTGATTCTCCATTGTCAATTATTTATACCTCCTCACTATTATTTGATTGTTCATTGTCAATTATTTTACTTTTTATGTCAAAAATTTCTATTAAATTGGGAATATTTTTGTAAAATCATTTCATTCACTTGAATTGGTAGCTTCTTCAATTTACCGGAGAGTTTTTTTTTTTTTTTTTTTTTTTTTAGAGAACAAAAAAGCCAAAATGATTGACGGTAGACAATCTCATAATCCACTTTTGTCGATATTAAATCTCAGTGATTAAAGTGATGAATTATGACAATCTTAAAGACCATTTTGATTAAAAAGGCGAGAAAATATTCTATGATTTTGTGATAATTATTATTAAGAAATGTTACAGTAATTTTTTAATTATATTTGTAAACCAAATGCTATGACCTTTAATATGGAACTACTTGTTTTAATAAGTTAAAGAATCATTTCAACTATCATCCGCTATATTATATGGTGATGATCTATTAAATATAGTTTAAGAAAATTTGATCCAACAGTTAAAGTTATTATAATTTTTAAAGGACCTCCTATTTGTAACCGTTGAATCAAATTTCTAAAGTCCATATTGATTAATTGAATAGATTTGATGAAAGTGATTCGGAAAAGATTTCTTTCCCTTTATTTTGGCCGATAGTCTTTTTCTTTAAGATGTAAATTATCATCTTCTCGGTTCTCACCGTTTATTTTTTATAACAAAAAATAAAAAGAAAGTTAAAATTAAATTCGTTTTCCATTCCGAATTTATTCCGAACTTGTGCTCCATAGTTGAAAGTCATGGAATAAGCATCAAACTGAATTACGTAGTTCAAATTCCTTGAAATCTCTCTAGGTCCATAACTATGGCTTACCACGAGATCAGTTGTCCACCTTTTTAAGGGGAAAAAAAAAAAAAACTACCTAAGTTGAAGTCCTATTGATTATGGTATAAAGTGCAAATTTTTTTATGGTGAATCTCATTTCAGGTTTAAGAAACTTTATATATGATTATAAAGTTTAACGGTGAAACTTTAACCTTGTTAATGATATTAGAAAGTTAATCTACGTGTTAAGCTCTACGACTCTGGTGTGCATGCATACATCGCCCAATATGTGTTGTACTCATGTGTTAAGTTTAAATGGCAAATAAATAAGGCGTTCACCTGACTTTTTACGTGATGTGAGCAATGACTTTACCCTTGTATTTATATAGACCTAGCCCTAGTGAATCTTTCTATTATGACGTAATTAGAGTTTAGGTCAGCCATGAATATTGATTCACCAAATCTCTTACCTACAAGGAAAGTATTGGGAGCCTTTGTAAGAATATTGATTCACCAAACCTCTTACCCACAAGGAAAGTATTGGCAGCCTTTGTATGAATATTGATTCACCAAATCTCTTACCTACAAGGAAGGTATTAGGAGCCTTTGTTCCCTAAGCAGCCAAATATTAGTTTTACTTAGGGTCCAAGCAATAGCAATTAACTGAACGCTAACCTTACTTACACTCTAAAAAATTCTTAAATTAAATGTGAAAACCTATCAGACGTTGGTCTTTCAAGTTCAATGATGTTAAAACTTCGGTGAACAGAGGCAAGATTCTAAATTTGTAAGTCTAAAACTTATAAGCATAACTAGTAGCAAGCAACCTTTGCATTTGAAACTTTGCACTTCTTCAAGTAACATGTGTGGGCTTAGCCTCACAATGAGCCAACAATAATGTGGTTCAAATTTGTTTTTAAGGAGAATCAAACCTAAGACCTTTCACTTCTAAGTAAAGAGGAATACCACTAGACCGTAATATTAAATGACAACTCCGGCCAGATACAAAAAAGGATAGAATCTTTTAACTCTCTGCAAATATGCAACTTCTATAATAGTTGAATATCCAAAATTAACAAACTATAAATGATATACATTGATCCATTATCAAATAATTGTTTAATGTAACGATATTCTCAACTTTTACTGTATTGAATCACTCAACCCACATTTTACATGTTACTAAGTTTTTATAAAATAGTTTTATTATCGTTAATTTGTAATATTTTTGTTTATTTTATAGAGCAATATGTTTACACTAAGAAATAAATATCAATTCTCGTACAAAAATAATTCTGAGCTATTTGAAACCAAAAACAAAACCAATCACAGCCACTTTATTATGCTATTCTTTAAAATTCCAATCAATAACAAAACAAAACCAAAAATATAGCTTAATTACAAATCCATCACTGACCATAATTTATCTCCAAAATCGAAGATAAAATCATACATCCATCGTAGTATGAAGCAGGCCCAAAATACACCAGAACACTAAGTTTAAAACATGGAAAGCAGAAGGGGGACAGATAATGCAGCAATCCCAAACAATGAAGTGACAGAATGCAGGGAAGAAGAAGAAGAAGCAGCTGCTACAGAAGACGACGGCGACGACGATGAAGAAGGTGCGTTTCTGGCGACAGTAGTGATCTTCATCTTCATGCCCTGGCCGCAGTGGCCTAAAGTGCCACAAGCAAAATATCGTGTGCCGGCCTTGGTCAGTTTCACCACATCATTGCCGCTAGACTTGGAGTCTAGGACATTGCCGGTGTCGCAGCTCTTGTAGGCGCTTTCGTTTGGTAGCTCCACCACACTATGCAGCCCCGAGGTGTACTTAAAAACTGCCAAGAAAGATAAATTATATTGGTTATCATAATATAACACCAAGCACAATTTAATGAGAATTTCATGTTGGAAGGATGAAATAAGCATTTTCTAACAACCAAAAAAAGCGTGTTTGTATGCTTAGTTGAAAGTGCTTTTGGGTAATATAAGTGTTATTTGGAGAAACACTTCTGATAGCTTTTTATGAGTAGAAGTATTTATAATAAACCAGTTTTAGACGGAGAGGTACTATTACAAACATGTAAATTCTTTGTGCATGCCGTTCGCTGTTTGTTAAAGAACGGATTCTGTATAGATAACACGTCGATAAATTTTGCTATTGACAACATTATCAATCTACTAATGGTATCGATGACTTGACCATACTTTATTGAGAAGCCATTATTTACCAAAAAACGGATATCTGTCTAGAGACGAAGTGACAAGTAACTTACCAAGTTGATCGCCAACCTTAAATTTCTCGCCGGATGCCCATGAGTTCAAATCTGTGGATTCCTCCCAGCCTTGGCTTCCTCCAACAACATGCTGTGCTGCCAAGGTTTCCTTTGTGAACAAAGCTGCAAAAACCAACACCAACAAAACTGTGTTCGTACGCCCCATTCTCTTCTAATTCTTTCCAGTCTAAATTTGCTCTTAGCTCCTTTAACGGTCTGAGCTTTCCAATGCCTATACAACTATATATATGCTGTAAAAATATTTATTTGGTAATGTTTGGTGAGTTTCACAGGATGAATATTTGATCAAGGGCAGATCAATTTACCAAATTGCCCCAAGAAGCATGAGGTAGTATACTGCAAGTCTGCAACCTAGACAAGGCTTTTGTGTAATTCTGCAGAGAACACAGGCTGAGTTTCTGAAGTGAGATTAGGTTAAGAATTCGGAGTTTGGTTTGTCCGCAAAGCAACACTAATTGGTTTGTCCGCAAAGGAAGGAAGCTTGGAGTTTAAACAAAGATATGTTGGTGATCATATTCACTAGAAGGCTGATCGTGAGAACTCAAAGTTTTACACACAAATGTCAAAGCTGACAGCTACAAAATGAAGAAAGCACTTTTGGTAGAAATACATCGAAATTTTTATTAGAAACTCAATTGTTTCTTGAGAAAGCATTTGTAAGTGCTTCAAGAAGAGCACATGACGTGATTTCTCTATAAAACGTTTCTATGACACCAAAAGCTTCTATCATAAAACAATTTTAGCCTCTCAAGAAGCAAAATCAGACAAATAATCAAAATCACATGCGGCATCATTTAGACGAACCAAAACTCATGAACTCGACTGTTATTCCACATAACTATTATTGTAATTATTGTTGCCTTTGGCATTAACAATCGATTGGCAATGATTTGCTCTTTAGTTTGATTCTAGAAGTGTTTCCTACTAATATTAACGGTTGTTGATGAAATTCTACTAAATATGCATTAAAATTATTCAAAATTTCTGGGCACATTTTACTTGAGCTCATGACCCATGTCCATTAGTTAACCTTCGGGCCTCAGTCTTAGTAAAATCAGTGTTGCTGCTTGAAAAATGCAGTCACTTGATTATACACAATGTCCTTAGCATTCAACCCCATGATGAAATCTGCATGTGCATAATTCTCTATGTACTGAACAGTGAGCTTCCCCACATCGTGAAGTTTTAGACTATCCAGTAAGCGCGCCACGTTGCGAAGATCGGAGAGCGCGTCTTGGCCACCGTAGCTGAGGAACAGAGGAAGGTCATGGGGAATGTTGGAGAGGTTGTAAACTGGAGGGTTAAATCCGCCATAATGCATCGAGTTTAAGTCTGGTCTGCCGTAGTTATATTTTGCCAACTTCCCATCTCGTACAGCTGCATGTTAATTTATGTCACAATGGATAACTACTTAAATTGTCTTATTGTCAATTGCATACAATTACGTATTTATATGTTTCATCACGTGACTAATTAATACGTAGCTGTACTCAACTTGTGACACTCGAGAATCTCTCTTAAAACATTTTAAGGTTGGTAAAAGAACTTACTTTGAGCCAAGTGCACCATGTTCTTGGTGGATGTTGACTGAGGCTCATTCTCCAAGAAGAGATCAATGGTGGAATAATTAAGACAGCAGTTTTTGCCTTAAATCCGATCAATTTAGGAAGGTGATTAGCAATATTGTGTTATAATTATGATAGTTGCACCATAATAATTAGAGAAAATAAGAACTGACTAATTATACCAGCAACTGCTTGTAGTAAGTCATAGCAGTAAACTCATGGATAAGCGCATAGAGCTTTCAGAAATTGAGCCGCTGGGTCCCTGCAATTAGGATAAACCTCAAATTATACCAAGTCGATAGTACTCAAACACCGTCATGTAATATAATCAGTTAACGAGTATAATATAAATGAACAGTGATCATACAGTTTACGTAGTATCATAAATACTTCCGTAATGCAACACACAAATGGGTGGTTAATTTGTCATCCTTACCCTTTCAGGTTGAACTCCGCAAGTCCGAAAAGCATAGTGATCTGTTGAGGAAATCAAACATTTAAGTAAAATTAGTGACATGTATTAAGACATATACATTGTATTACAAATTAATATGGGGAATCACTGACAGAATTATTGACAACTGAAGTACCTCACCAACAAAGGCTTTGGCAGCAGCCACACCAAGTGCAGTGTTCATGTGGCTCAAATAAGCAATGGGGCTTAGCAAGGCTGCTGATTTCATCTGGTCCACCAGTTTCCCTTCTGATAACGATGCCAATACAAATAAAGTTCCCTGCCAAATAAATCAACACATGTTTTTCTTCTCAAAAAAGTTGAAATATCTTGATTTGAAACTACAAAGATGTGTACATTTATGGAAAGGGAAATGATTTTTGCGCATTCGCTTTACTAATTTCGTATTAAACTATTCAATTCAATGTTAAAAAATAAGCAGGGCTGCTGGAGCGTGCACTGGTAGAAAATGTGTGCGAAAATCAATTCAAACCTATTGGGATGCCTTCGTGACAAACATACCAATCAACCACACATTATGATAAGTTTTAATCTACACATCTGACAATGAGTGGTTAACTTAAAATACAAATTCGGAAACGATCGTTTCCAAGGCCGTAGCCCAATATTATACAGGATCCCAATCTACAATTATGCACTTATCTCTGATCAATCATCGGTGCCAAAGTACCGATCACCAAATTCACCCATTCCTGGTATGACACGGAACTCTTCATTCAGCGCAACATCGATCTCTGAAGTGACAATCTTCAAAGACGGAAACCGTTTGGAAACACAATGGATTCCTTCAGGGGCCTAAGGCAGATGAACATAGTAGGGCACTTAAGTCAATGTGTTGTCATCGGTGTACAAAATACGCGCAATCAACCAGCATCAAGAAAAAACTCACAGAGATAAGGTTTAGGAAAATAATATGCGCTTCAGGAACTCCCTTCTGTATGAGTAGTTCAATCGCCTGGTTAGCAGAGTTACCTACAAGCCATTAAGGTTGATTGTCACTTCTTCGCCATACCACATAACAAAGACTCCTATGCCCAAAAAATGAAAACAAAAAACAAAAACTGGACCGCAGTTTTAAGGTAGCAAAAGCTAACGTGCCATACCAACTGAATTTTCAGACCGTACACTATGCCTCACAACATGCTCTTTCAACGGGAATGGCTAAAGACATAAATAAATGATATCTTCCTACCGGTGATGTCTATAACAATGAGAAGAAGAAAAAACCAGCGACGAAAATTTTCCCTCAACACCATCAACTAACCAGCTTATGAGAGATTAATGGGATTACCTGTAGCAAGGACTGGATCTAGAAGCAGGACATGACGTTCTGAAATATCCTTTGGAAGTTTCTCGTAGATAAGCTGTTTAAGTTGGAATAGTTCGGTTATACACAAATTTTGTAAGGTTTGAGAGGGATGAGATAGCCATTGGTCAATTTTCTCCTTTAAAATCAAGGTACCTGCTTTCCATTGTCTCCAACACGGTGAATCAGAATCTTTCCAATCTTTATCCCTTTGCAGCATGCACGTAATGCATTTTCCATGCTCTCACCACTGACATAATAAACAAGGAAAGGTTGTTGGCATAGACAAAGGACTGCCGGACAAATAAAACTTCTAAAATTCAATACCTGACTTAACGCTCACCTTCGAACGATTGAAACCGCACACAGTTTCTTGCAGAAATCCACTCCAGTATATACTGATCCTGGTATATAACAAAAGAAAATTTTCAAAGACTTGCAAAATATTCCTCATTTTGAGGCTATAGTTCAGATGATGCAAATTAAATATGAATCGATGTTTGTGCGAGATTTATCCATTTACTCAAAATAGCATATATCAAAATACACCCCACCCCCTCCATCTAAAGGAAAATCCATAACTATCCCCAAGCTGAACCAAACAGGCCGCAATCAAGTTATGATATGAGTATGGGTGAGGTAAGAAGAAATTGTAGACATGTAATCAGCACACCTGTTGGAGTTATTATTTGCTTCTCTGTGAATGGCAAATGGCCAAGGCCGTGCTCCACAACCTGGAGGCCACATCAGAGTATCAGAGGATAGAAGCAGAACTCTGGTAGATTTATGAAATTTGAATAAGGCAGGGAGTATAAATTACCAGACGTATTAGCCGATCTGAGTAAAATACAAAATCATGTTTCGATATTTCTCGGTCTCGAATCAGTGTATGCATACCTCTTATCTGAAAAATGACAACAACTAGATTAAAGCTTGTAAGGAGATGAAAGTGAGCAAATAGTCATCTGATTGCAGACTGTTGGGAAAAGCTTTAAGGTTACAAGTCCATCACAATGCAAGTTATATGCTTAAATTACTTGGGTCAGTCAAACAAGAAATCTGATTCGTAATGCTTTTCAGAGCTGAAAATTAAAATACTTGAGAAGAACACAAAACGTGCGCAGAAAATGCGGTTTAGAAAGTTTCTCAATTATAAAAACAAGACCCATACGCAACTAAACTAAAAAAAAGACCCATAACTGATTTGCTATACAATAAATCATTCGTACTCGAGTTGTGAAATCAACAATCAAAGCCAAATACCAAATTCCTAATTCCGGAAAAAGACAGATGGTGAACAATGTGTCTATATAAAAACAAATCACACGAACACATATGGCATACCTGAAATGTGGACTGAATAACGTATACATTAGGATATATTTTGCAGAGGTCATGCTGACCAAGCTTTGTGCGAATATGTTGCACAATCAAATCGATGGCAACATGATTCTCACCTCCCTGGGGAATGATAACATCAGCATACTTCTTTGATGGGTGAACAAAATCATCAAAAGCAGGTTTGACGAACTTGGCATACTGCACAATACATAATGCCTCAGTGTGATTTCAGGAATGGAAATGATATAATCTCAGCAGAGTTACTAAACAAACTACAAAAAGCCAATCTAGTCTTCCCCAACGCTACTAAACAAAATAATGGCTAATCCAACTCCTGTGAAAAGAACAATAAGCCAAGTTTAAATTGGGTCTTACCATTTCAAGAACAGAGTTAATGTCCCTGCCCCTCTCAACTGTGTCTCGTCTTATTCTACGAGCAAGCCTCACATCAGCATCTATTAACATATGTTAAAAAGTAAGATAAATATTCAGAGAGAGAGAAAAAGCATAACCAAAAGAAAAAGGTTAAGGCCTCCTCTTCACACACATACAGAGACTGGCCAAGAAGAGGAAAATTCCATATCAAGACCGCAAGTAACGCTTAAATTTCCACATCAAGTCCGCAAGTAACGCTCAAACTAACATGCCATGCAAAACAAAACTACGGAAAGCTAAAAGATGTGATGAGCACAAAGGACCCTAACTGGACAGTGAATATGATGAAAACGACAAGAATTGCACAAAAGAGATCAGACCTGTATCGACAAAAATCTTCATGTTCATTAGATTGCGGACATGTTGGTCATGGAACACCAGAATTCCTTCCAAGATTATTACATCAGAAGCATTCACCTGACAAAACGGTAAACCAGATGCTTTAAAGGGAAGAGAAATGACAATTACAAATCAAAATTGACTTTGAGATGAGCTATTACAAGCAAAACCAGCTAAGTACTCGTAAGGAAGAAGAAGGAGAAAAACACCTAAATAATTTGAGTACCTGCCGGAAACTATCAGATTTTCTTCTATGCGTCTTAAAATCATAAATTGGAACTTGGACAGATTGCCCGTTCTTTAGCTTTTGAATGCAATCCAAGAGTTGTTCCGTGTCAAAAGCATCTAAAAAACACAATCAATAGATAATCAGTAAACTATATGAATAATGTTCCTATAGGACATACAAAAGAACCCCAACAAAACATTATTTGTCACTACATAACTGTCACATATGCACAGTATAGCACAGCACACAGCCTAATTCCTTGGCTAAAATCAACAACACGAAACTAAATTCGAACTTTAATGGTAAAATGATTACCAGGATGATCAAAATTATACTCATGCACTCGTTCCGATTCCTCGGGCGTCAAACCTCGATAAAATGAATCCTAGAGAATGTCCAAATGAAACTAATCAAAGAATTATACTAAGTATATAGCTTAAGCAACTAACAACAGAAAATCGTACTTGCAGAGAAATAAAAAGGCAAAGTAAGCAACGAGAAGGAGCTGCACAAAGCCCTAACCTGATTGACAAGTACGACACGATGATCGTGAAGCTGCTGGATGATCATGTCGCACACTGTCGTCTTACCGGAAGCCGTGCCTCCAGAAACACCTGAGCAATCATCGTAACAACAACGAAATTGAAATTGAAATTGACGAAATTGAATTAAACTTGAAATGCAGTTGCAGCTGAGACTGAATCGGATGCAACGGATCAACGAAATGCAAATTGAAATGAAAACGAAGAGCGAGGGAGTGAGGTTACCGATGACGAATGGCTGTTTGGCGGCGTGGGGGTCGGCTGCGAGGTTGGTAGAAGGGCCGGGAGACGAAGAAGGTGGCGGAGAGGAGAGGATGCCGTCGAACCGGAGGCCAGAGAAGTGGGGACCAGAAGCTTTCTCCATCACGCAGTCAATCGTCATCGCGTTCTCCGACATGGTTTCCCGCTCTCTCTCTCTCGCTCTCTGGTTTTGCGTTTCGGAGTGAATGTGGTAAAGAACGAGTCGACGCTGCAATTTAAGTGAAAAATTATTTTAGAGTTTCAGCTTTACAGAGACTGCCGTTTCGTCACCATCAGTCCGGGCGCGCAAGATTCACGCTTTCTTTCTTTTCTCTTTTATATTTATTTTTTATTTTTGGTGAACTGATACTTCAAAACCAGGGTAAAGATGTCAAAAAAGATATAGAGAAAGCCTACAAGGGGGCAAACAACCAAATTAAAGCAAAAAACACCAAGTAGTTCTCACTTGATTGTCCATTACCAATTATTTATATCTCCTCACTATTCTTGATTATCGATTGTCAATTATTTTAGTTCTTACGTGAAAATTTTCTGTTAAATTAGGAATATTTTTGTAAAATCATTCCCTTTACTTGAACTGGTAGCTTTTTCAATTTAACAGAGAGTTTAAAAAAAAAAAACTAAAATGATTAATTGTCGATAATCTCATAATCCACTTTTGTCGATTTTAAATCTCAATGATTAAAGTAATGAATTATGATAATATCATGGACCATTTTGATTAAAAGGCCAAAAAAATATTCTATGATTTTGTGATAATTATTATTAAGAAATGTTACGGTAATTTTTTAATTATATTTGTAAACCAAATGCTATGACGTTTATGATTAAACTACAATTTTAATAAGTTAAAAAATAATTTCAACCAGCATCCGTTATATTTTACAGTCTACTAAATATAGTTTAAGAAAATAATTTCGCTAGCATCACTTTTTTTTTATTATTTTGCTGATCTAAGATTGGCACCTATTAGCTTTATTTTGGCCGATAGTCATTTTCTTTAAGATGTAAATTATCTTCTTCTCAGTTGTGACATCCCACATCGCCCAGGGGAGTGATCCTTAAATGTATATTCTCATCCCTACCTAGCACGAGGCCTTTTGGGAGCTCACTGGCTTCGGGTTCCGTAGGAACTCCGAAGTTAAGTGAGTAGCGCGCGAGAGCACTCCCAGGATGGGTGACCCATCGGGAAGTTCTCGTGTGAGTTCCCAGAAACAAAACCGTGAGGACGTAGTCGGGGCCCAAAGCGGACAATATCGTGCTACGGTGGAGTCGGGCCCGGGAAGTGGTCCCACCCGGGCCGGGATGTGACAATTTGGTATCAGAGCCTAACCCTGGCCGCGTGTGTGCCGACGAGGACGTCGGGCCCCTAAGGGGGGTGGATTGTGACATCCCACATCGCCCAGGGGAGTGATCCTTAAATGTATATTCTCATCCCTACCTAGCACGAGGCCTTTTGGGAGCTCATTGGCTTCGGGTTCCGTAGGAACTCCGAAGTTAAGTGAGTAGCGCGCGAGAGCACTCCCAGGATGGGTGACCCATCGGGAAGTTCTCGTGTGAGTTCCCAGAAACAAAACTGTGAGGGCGTAGTCGGGGCCCAAAGCGGACAATATCGTGCTACGGTGGAGTCGGGCCCGGGAAGTGGTCCCACCCGGGCCGGGATGTGACATCAGTTCTTACTGTTTATTTTTTATAACAAAAAAATAAAAAGAAAGTTAAAATTAAATTCGTTTTCCATTCCGAATTTATTCTGAATTACTACTGGTGCTCCACTTGTTGAAAGTCATGGAATAAGCATCAAACTGAATTACACAGTTCAAATTCCTTGTAATCTCTCCAGGTTTGAAATGAGTAGATAATCGTAACTTGCCACGAGATTAGTTGTCCACCTTTTAAAGGGGGAAAAAAACTACATAAGTTGAAGTCCTAGTGAGTTTGGTATAAAGTGAAAATTTTAGATGGTGAATCTCATATCAGGTTTAAGAGACTTTATATATGATTATAAAGTTTAATGGTGAAACTTTAACTTGTTTAATAATATCATAAAGTTAAAACTTTAACTTTTTAATAATATCATAAAGTTAATCTACGTGTTAAGCTCTACGGCTCTTGTGTGCATACATACGTCACCCAATATGTGTTATACTCATATGTCAAGTTTAAATGGCAACCTAAATGAGGTATTCACTTGACTTTTTGCATGGTGTAAGCAATAACTTTAGCCTTATATTTATATAGACTTAGCTATAGTGAATCATTCTATTATGACGTAATAAGCCATGAATATTGGTTCACCAAATCTCTTACCCACAAGGAAAGTATTAGGAGCCTTTGTTCCCTAAACAGTCAAATATTAGCTTTACTTAGGGTCCAAGCAATAGTAATTCACTGAACTCTAACCCTAATCAATTCTTAAATTAACCGTGAAGACCTATTAGACGTTGATCTTTCAAGTTCAATGGTGTTAAAACTTCGTCAACAGAGGCAAGAGAACTGTCAGATTCTAAATTTATGTCTAAAACTTACAAGTATAACTAGTAGCAAGCAACCTTTGCATTTGAAACTTTTCATTCTTCAAGTAACACGTGTGTGCTTAGCCTCACAATAACCCAACAATAATGTGGTTCAAATTCGTTTTTGGTGAGAATCAAACCTAAGACCTCTCACTTACAATTGAAATGGAATACCACTAAACCGTAGTACTAAATGACAACTCCGCCCAAATACAAAACAAGGATAGATCATAAATTTCATCCTATTATGGCGAAGAAAAGTATAGAATCTTTTAACTCCATGCAAATATACAACTTCTACTATAGATGAATATCCAAATTCAACAAACTATAAATGATGTACATTGATCCATTCTCATATAATTGTTTGATCTAACGATGTACATTGATCCATTCAGAGTCTCAAATTTTACTGTATTGTATCACTTAACCCACATTTTACATGTTACTAAGTTTTTATAAAATAATTTATTATCGTTAATTTAAAATATTTTTATTTATTTTATAGAGCACTATATTTACACTAAGAAATAAATATCAGTTTTCGTACGAAAATAATAATTCTGAGTTATTTGAAACCAAAAACAAAACTAATCACAGCCACTTCATTATGATATTCTTTAAAATTCCAATCAACAACAAAACAAAACCAAAAATATTGCTTAATTACAAATCCATCACAGACCATAATTTATCTCCAAAATCGAAGATAAAATCATACGTCCATCGTAGTATTAAGCAGACCCAAAATACTCCAAAACACAAAGTTTAAAACATGGAAAGCAGAAGGGGGACAGATAATGCAGCAATCCCAAACAATGAAGTGACAGAATGCAGGAAAGAAGAAGAAGAAGAAGAAGAAGAAGAAGAAGAAGAAGAAGAAGGAGCTGCTGCAGAAGACGACGGCGACGACGGTGAAGAAGGTGCGTTTCCTGCGACAGTAGTGATCTTCATCTTCATGCCCTGGCCGCAGTGGCCTAAAGTGCCACAAGCAAAATATCGTGTGCCGGCCTTGGTCAGTTTCACCACATCATTGCCGCTGGACTTGGAGTCTAGGGCATTGCCGGTGTTGCAGCTCTTGTAGGCGCTCTCGTTTGGTAGCTCCACCACACTATGCAGACCCGAGGTGTACTTAAAAACTGCCAAGAAAGATCATAACCATAATATAACACCAAGCACAATGTAATTAGAATTTCATGTTGGAAGGATGAAATAAGCATTTTCTAACAACCAAAAAAAGCGTGTTTGTATGCTTAGTTGAAAGTGCTTTTGGGTAATATAAGTGTTATCTGGAGAAACACTTTTGATAGCTTTTTATGAGTAAAAGTATTTATAATAAACCAGTTGTAGACGGAGAGGTACTATTACAAACATGTAAATTATTTGCGCATGCCGTTCGTCGTTTGTTAAAGAACGGATTCTGTATAGATAACACGTCAATACATTTTGATATTGACAGCATTATCAATCTACTAATGGTATCGATGACTTGACCATACTTTATTGAGAAGCCATTATTTACCAAAGAACGGATGTCTGTCTAGAGACGAAGTGACAAGTAACTTACCAAGTTGATCGCCAACCTTAAATTTCTCGCCGGACGCCCATGAGTTCAAATCTGTGGATTCCTCCCAGCCTTGGCTTCCCCCAACAACATGCTGTGCTGCCAAGGTTTCCTTTGTGAACAAAGCTGCAAAAACCAACACCAACAAAACTGTGTTCGTACGCCCCATTCTCTTCTAATTCTTTCTAGTCTAAATTTGCTCTTAGCTCCTTTCACGGTCTGAGCTTTCCAATGCCTATACAACTATATATATATGCTGTAAAAATATTTATTTGGTAATGTTTGATGAGTTTCATAAGATGAACATTTGATCAAAGGCAGACCAATTTACCAAATTGCCCCAAGAAGCAAGAGGTAGTATACTGCAAGTTGCAACCTAGACAAGACTTTTGTGTAATTCTGCAGAGAAAACAGGCTGAGTTTGTGAAGTGAGATTAGGTTAAGAATTCAGAGAATTTGGTTTGTCCGCAAAGGAAGGAAGCTTGGAGTTTAAACAAAGATATGTTGGTGATCATATTCACTAGAAGGCTGATCGTGAGAACTCAATGTTTTACACGCAAATGTCAAAAAATGACAGCTACAAAATGAAGAGAGCACTTTTATTAAAAGTACTTTTGTTAAAAGCACTTTTGTTAGAAATATATCGAAATTTTTATTAGAAACTCAATTGTTTCTTGAGAATGCATTTGTAAGTGCTTCAAGAAGAGCACATGATGTGATTTCTCTATAAAACGTTTCTATGACACCAAAAGCTTCTATCGTAAAACAATTTTAGCCTCTCAAGAAGCAAAATCGGGCAAATAATCAAAATCACATGCGGCACCATTTAGACGAACCAAAACTCATGAACTCGACTGTTATTGCACATCACTATTATTGTAATTATTGTTGCCTTTGGCATTAACAATCGATTGGCAATGATTTGCTCTTCAATTTGATTCTAGAAGTGTTTCCTACTAATATTAACAGTTGTTGACGAAATTGTACTAAATATGCAATTATTCACAATTTCTGGGTACATTTTACTTGAGCTCATGACCCATGTCCATTAGTTAACCTTCGGGCCTCAGTCTTAGTAAAGTCAGTGTTGCTGCTTGAAAAATGCAGTCACTTGATTATACACAATGTCCTTAGCATTCAACCCCATGATGAAATCTGCATGTGCATAATTCTCTATGTACTGAACAGTGAGCTTCCCCACATCGTGAAGTTTTAGACTATCCAGTAAGCGCGCCACGTC